CAGTCTCCTCCAGTTCCCATAATTCGCCTCCTTTGATAGCTCCCAACAGTCTCTGGTACCGTGTCTATTGCACCACTTTATCCATGACTTTCCAAAACTGTCTTTAAAATATTGAGCGATTTTGAATTGCTACCAACATTGTCCCCGAAGAACACAAGTGACTGAAGCTAAATAGTGTTATTTTTAGTTATGTATGTCCCCTAAGAATTTGATTGGAATTTAGCCTCATGCTACATGCCTGGCTGACTCCCAAAGCCCAGCAGAATAGGTGCAAGGATTTTTCAAACCGAAAGCTGAGAGCGACTATCATTCAGGTATGTTATCAAAGGCTGAAATAGGATATATTGGTCTGTAGTTAAAGTCAACACCCATGCCACATTTTCAAAAGATAGATTTTTTTTTTATAAACTTTCAACACAATACAAGTCATTTTCATCCACTCATACACCTTCTCTATCCACTCTCAAAGGGTTCAATCTAAAATCCATTGACTTCACTGGTCACCTTGTGATACTGTTCAATGGTAAATTGTAAATGTCTCCTGAAGTCTATCTTACACTTGAACAACCTTATTCTCTTCTCTCCTGCCGACTTCACTAGTGTTGGACTCCTTTCTAGAGAAGGACACTGGTTTGTTTCAAAGAAATTCTTGAACTTCAGGACTGAACTGTAGGAAGTTTTCTCCTGCTGCACTGCCTGCTCCCGGAGACTCTGCTACAGCCGTAACTTTGACGGAGCACTTGTATCACTTAACATTTGTAGTTTATGATAAGCTCTATTTACCATGGGCAGTGTATTTTTTATATTTCTAAACCACCTGGACACACTTAATATTTCTTTTTTAAAAATTCTTCACAGTAACATGGCAGGTTAAGTATCACCATAGCAACACTTTACCTCAATATTTTGAACCTTTACCCCTCTTTACAAACTACAGAAGTGCAGTGAAATCCTGTTCCAAATGACCGCACAATATATGAAAACCTTTCTCTGAATTTAGAAACCACATTTACATACCATCAACTTCAGCACTGAGGCCCTTCATGGAAGCTGGAAAGGGAGAGAGAGGGGAAAAAAGTGCTAATAAGTATCATTCATATTGTGAGGATAGGAGTTTCCACAAAAGTTGAAGGACTTCATTTTTTTATTTGTTGATTTTTTTTTTCTCCCTCCCTCCCTCCTCTCACCATCAGGAACAGCTTCAAATTCTGTCAACTCCTGAGAAAATTTAGCCAAATCAGGCTCATGCAAGAAGATCTGTTCCACAAGGGCATGAAGCAAGGTGAACGTCCTCTCCTTACCCCGCAACAGAGGTAACTGCAAATAGAATAGAGCAATAATTGACAGACTGAGCTATTATACTTTAAAAAAAAAAAAAAAACCACCAAACCCCACACAGCAGGAATTTGATCGCTCCCAGGTAAATTTGACAAGAATAGAAAACACAATGAAATTAAACTTCTCCTTTTCCATCTGCCATTTCACAGATATTCTTGATTAAGATCAGCTTTACACTTTCATATCCATTGACCTTCCTTGTTCTTTTGTGTCTTCTTATTCACAGGGGTCTTTTTTAACCTAAGGTATCCTAATGGATTGCAACTGATTTTGGACCTCCGAACACAGTCAATATTCCTTTCCACTTAAAAGCAGTGTGTTGTGTTCACAAAGATAGTAAAGTTCCTTAAATGAATGTGGGAAGATGCTCTGTGGCAGAAAATGATTTTGTAGGCATTTTTCATTATGATAGATGTGGTATTACAGCCATTATATATTAAAAAAAAAAAGAAGGCAAGTTGTGTCTCAGAAGTGTCACTACAGTTATAAATCACTCACTCAAATATTAAAGTCTCCAGATGGGAAGATACCTTACAAAAAACAAAATAAAAATTATTCTCTCTTTTATTCACAGCTCAGGCATAATCTTACAATAGTGTTAAAGGTACAAGGCAGCTTAGGAAATTTGTATCTATTTCTTACTTTTTAGGATAAGAGTATAATGCCCTGCCACTGTTGGGTGGAGGAGGGGGAAAAAAAACCCTGTACTCAGTAGCAGCATTTTCTGATGGCAAATTCTGATGACGAGGGGAAAGCAGTTTCCTTAAAACTAATAGAAAACTCAGCCTAATGTCACACAAGTGGTAGGTCAATGAAGAGACAAAGAACTAAGAGCTAGATGGTGCTTCTTGTAGAGCAGACCTCTACTAGGAAAGAGTAAAGATCACAACTGCCACCTTCGTCCCCTATTCAATCATCCAGCAGAGCAATGATGGGGGGTTAAAATCGTCGCAGGCGAATGTCACTCCCTTTGAATTTATTAATTTATTTACATTCTACTTTTGAAATTTTACCTTAAAATGGCATTGTACCTCTTATTGCAGAAGACCTTTGCTTTGGAGTAAAATGGAGCGCTAAGAAATTACTCCAGTGCCATAAAAGTGCAACTACCACAGAAGAAATGCCATAGTTACAGTCTCTGACCACAGTGAAATTAAGAGGATCCGTACAACACTGCTCTGCACAAAACTGCAAAATACAGTTTATCTAAACTTGCATCTAACCAGGGGCCTGCAGCTTAGACGCCTCTTCTAGCCAGGGGAACTTAATATCAGAGCAGCCAGCGTTTTGGTGTTCTACCTCATTAGAAACACAGTGTTTGAACACCCCAATGCCCCCATCTAGCCAGTGCTGCTGTCTAAAATGGGGAAATGCATCTTGTTATAACACACATTAAAGAATACATTGTTAAACAGGATTTTGTTTCTAGTGTAACCAAGAGCAGATGTTAAAATGTTAGCTACTCATTAAAAATTATTGCCTTTCTCCCCATTCAAGGCAAAACTGAGTTAATATTAATGGCTAACGTACCTTAGAATATGATGATTTTAATGACAAGAAAAATATTTACTCACTTTGGTCAAAGATGATAATCGAAATCCTTTAGCCTTCTCTTTTCCAGCCTTTTCATTTAGATGGTTCCCAATGGCTAAAATGTACTCCAAGACAGCAACAAATTTCTGGCTGGATTGCAGCTGCTTACTCGCTTGGATTTTCTGGTTTATTAGCTGAAACACACAAATCTTCCTTCAGTTCAAATTGATTTTGCCAAAAGCCTCATTGTCCCCACCTGAAGCAAGTCACACTTTAGCTGACGGACACCTTCCTGTCCAACTTCCCCGGGGGAACAGGCCAGGGGGTTTCAGGAAGGACCAGTTAAAAGTCTCCCACCAAGATAAAGCTGGTGTTGGCACAGTTACCCTGCCCCCGATGGAGGCCACATCCTTTCTGGCTGCCAAAGCAGCCCTGCCAAAATGACTTCAACCGCATCTCTTAAAAATGCTTCTGAAAAGAAAGTATTTTGCTGTTTGAATGCACCAGATTGCACCAAATGTCAGGCATCAGGGGAAGCAGATAGCCTGAAGCGCAGTGTAAGGTTCTCCATCCTTCACCTCCCTCCCTTCTGTTTATACCAGCTGAAGACTGTTATCTTATCAAAATTCTTAGCA